AGGGGGGCCAGGGACACTTGTGCCATTGGCTGGCTCTTGGTACCCCTCCATCCCTACATCTTACCTCAGCTCCTGCTCTCCCGTGACAGGCAGATGGGTGTGGACACGTATTAACCCTTCAGGCACCAAGCCCACTCCCAGGTCTGGCTTTTCCGTGGCCATGGCCCCAAACCACCAGACGCTGCTCTTCGGGGGTGTCTGTGATGAGGAAGAGGAGGAGAGCCTGGACGGCGACTTCCTCAACGACCTGTACTTCTATGATGCCACCAAGAATCGCTGGTTTGTGGGACAGCTGAAGGTAGAGTTGGACTCCAAAGTGGTTTCCATGGTGTGTCCTGCATGAGACACGCGACCTAACATGGCACCTGGCTCTCACCTCTATAGGCAACAATGGGTAGAGGCTGTGTGGAAGGCAGTTCTGCCTTCCAGGCCAGCTGTTGAGACACCTGGGTCTCTGTGGCTCTGTGAGCTGTCACTGTCTTTACTGTCACTGTAAGCAGGGAACTGATCACTTCTGCCCCAGAGAAGCACATAGTGGGCTCTGTCTCATTAGTGATGCCCCCAGGGGCTTTGGGTCTAGAGCTGATGGGGTCAGGTCTGCAGGCTCAGAAACGGCCCGAGGCTGAGGGAGGGAGGCAGACTCAGCCCTGGTTGAAGGGCCTCGGCGCCTCTGCTGAGAGTTGGGTGAGTGTGAGGGCCTATTTCTGGGCTTACCACCTCCTTCTGTCTTTGAGAGGTGACACTGGGTAGAGGCAACACTGGGTGTGGTCTTCAAGGGGCGACCCCAGCAGATGGATTAGGGGTGCAGCCCTCCAGCTGTTTGCCCAGCACCAGGGTGGATGATGCTCCCCCTGCACTCTGGAGCTCTCAGGCCGCCCTGCGTCCCACCCTGTGTGCTGCTAAAGTGGGCTGCCCTGCTTTTTGTCAACAGGGACCCAAGTCAGAGAAGAAGAAGCGCAGGCGGGGCACGAAGGCAGAGCCTGAGGGTGCTGACAGGCAGGAGTGTGGGGAGGCCAGCGCCCAACCCCTGGAGGTGGTCAAAGAGGTAGTCACAGAGGATGGGACTGTGGTCACCATTAAGCAGGTGCTGGCTGCCCCAGGCCCATTAAAACAGCCACAGTCAGATGAGGACGACAGCCCTGAGGAGGCAGGTGGCCCCTTGGTGGAACCCCGCCCCCGCTCCAATGCCATGCTTGCTGTGAAGCACAGCCGTCTCTACCTCTACGGCGGCATGTTTGAGGCCGGTGACCGCCAGGTCACCCTCAGCGACTTGTACTGCCTTGACCTGCATAAGATGGACCAGTGGACGGTCTTGGTGGAGGCAGATCCAGGTGAGCTGTGGTGGGGTAAGCACCACCTGATGTTGGGGTGAGGGCACTCTTAAAAGCATCTTCATGAAGTCTGCCCCCAGGTGCCACCTAAATCTCCTCTATGCCAATGGGCCATGTGCTCTCTGGCTGAGGGCAGGCCCTGGTCACGGAGGAGGCACCTCCTTGTGTACACCCATTCTACTCTGGGAGCTTGGGGAGCGAGGCTGGTTACATCACAGGACACAGGCTCACTCTTGACACTACTCTTGTGAGCCTCAGAACTATCCAGGCTGCTCATATAGTTGCAAAGCAGATTTTACCTGTGAATTCTTCCCAACATCCTTCATTCCTAACTTTCACATTGTACCACAGGCTGTCGCTAGTGGTACAATGCTCATTTCTTTCTTCTTTTTTTTTTTTTTT